GTTTCCGCTTTAGCGGGGTGTGACAGATTTGGTATCAGAGCCTCGGTTATAGAGAACGCTAGTTTTTCTTTAAAAACCATCGACTATAACTAAAATGATTTCTAAACGATTTTCAATCATGTATTTAAAGCGGTCCTTGTTGTTACACATCAGTTAAGTAAAGTCTGATCACCTGTGCTTAATTTATGTGTAATAAAAAGAACTTAATCGATCTGATTAGAGGTATGCTCTAGTTGTGACACTATTATGAAAAGCATGAGCTTAGTTCCACTTTTGTGAATATCTGTTTCCTAGGATTAGAGGCACTGGTCAAGAAGACTAGAAACAATAAAGTTGGAATCATTACCTTCGTAGAGATTCTGGTCTCATTATCAGAAGCTCTGCCATAAGTGAATAAGAGAACCAGAGGATCCATGCATGAGTTACATGAATGATAAGCATAGGGGTTGCCACAGAGGCTCTGGTTCCGCTACCAGAGGCTCTGGTTGGAGTAAGATGTAGGACCAGAGGGTCGTTGAACCCTTAGTATATCTAATGAAATTGCACCTCTCCTTGATATGCCACCCTTATCACATGGTACACCTCTCCTTGATATGCCACCCTTATCCCATGGTACACCTCTCCTTGATATTCCACCCTTATCCCGTGGTACACCTCTCCTTGATATGCCACCCTTATTTTTTCATCAAAATTTTACACAAAATAATTTCAAATAGACCGCAGTCATTGAAATTATTCTCAATACAAAAATCATTTCTTTCAAAACTTCCTTTTTATGATAAAATAACATTTCTTATCAAAAACACAAGATATCACTTCAAATCCGGTCAACTTGATTTAGCCAGACTTCATCTCCGGTTAATAATCCGGATGACACATCGCATAAACTTTGTCCGGTTTAATACTTAGGATTAATTCCAACTTTGTCCGGTGGACAACACACCGCATAAAACTTGATAGATTTATCACTTAGAATAAAAATCAACATCTTTGTCCGGATAACAAGTCCGGACAATACCCCGCTCACCCTTTGACCGATTTAAAACAATTCGGCCACCAAGTGATCATATTCCTACTTCCCAGTTTTAAAAGATAACTTTTCTTACCAATCATAACCCGTTCAACGTTTGATTGGTTTAAAACAATCCGGACAATACATCGTTTAAGCCTTGTCCAATTTAAAACAATCCGGACAATACATCGTTTAAGCCTTGTCCGATCTAAAACAATCCAGATAAGCCTTGTCCGGTTTAATACCCGGATAAAACACTTGAGCAAAAGACTGATTTCTTTCCAAAAATA